TACACATAAATCTAGTAAAATTCATTTTAAGCAAAACTTCGTTGTATCAAAAAAAAAATTCGTTATAGAGAAAATTCATTATAAAAAGAGTCATTTTATATATAAATTTTTCTGACTTTAATTTGTTAAATGTAGTACGAATTTTTAATTACTAAATTTGATATAGGTTTTTTTATATTTAAAAATCTGTCTGACACTGAAAATCCGTTATATTGTAAAATTCGTTATATTAAAATTCGTTGTAGAAAGAGTTGACTATATTATCTTTTTTTCTTTATATTTTTTAAAGAAATTCTCTTATCAAAACTAATATAAGCATTTGAAAGTGACTTTAAGATGATTTTTAACTCTTTTTTCTTTATATTTCTTTTTTTTTTAGGAAAATTATCTTTTTGAAACTAAGATAAGCATTCAGAAGTGATTTTTGTATAGTTTTTAATCTGTTTTTTCTTATTTTTCTTTATTTTTTTAGGAATATACTAGGTAAGTAAATCAGAAGTGATTTTTGATGATTTTTTAAGTGGTTTCTTCTTTATATTTTATTTACTTTCGTTAGAAATACATTAAGGTAATTAAAATTAGAGGTGATTTTTGGATGAAATTTTACTGTTCCTTTTATTTTTCTTTATTTTTTAGAGAATTATTATTTTGGTAAATAAATCAAAAGCTTTTATATGAAAATTTATTATTTCCTTTTTTTTTGAAAAATTATCATTTTATAATTAAATTAAGTAAATCAGAAGTGACTTTTGTGTGGATTTTTTAACTTTTTCTTTATTTTTCTTTATATTTTTTAGGAATACATAATAATAAGTCAATCAAAGGTGATTTTAAAATGAAATTTTAATTTATTCTTTTATTTTACTTTATTTTTTTAAATATATCTTATGTAAGTCAATTGAAAATGGATTTTTGAATTAAATTTTTAAATTATTCCTTTATTTTCTTATTTTCTTTTAAAAAAATCAAATTTAATAATTATGCTAAAATAATAGAAATTATGTAAGAAATAATAAATTATAAAATTAATAAAATTTAAATTTGTTATTATTAGTTTCAATTTGCTTAAGCTGATTTTAGGTTGATTTATAGCTGAATTTAGGTATTTTAAGCTGATTTTAAAAAGCCGATTGATGACTGATTGATTATTTTGATTGACTTTTATTTTGTCAACCAGAATTAATGTAAATTAGCTATAAATAAGCCATAAATCATCTATTAATCATTTATTTGATTTTTAGCTTGATTTGGACCCATTTTGACCAGTGATTTGAGATAAAAAAAAAAAAGTAAAAATAAATATAAAGAAAATATAAATTTAATAATATAAAATAAAATAAATCAAAGTTTTATCTTAAAACATTATCAAATATATATTTTTATATAATTTATATTTAATAATAAAGATCATAATAAATTCTAAACTAAAAAATGCTAAATAAATAAATATTTTAATTGCAAAAAGAAAAGACAAATAATAATTTTTATATTATATTTATATCATAATTATGCTTATCATAAAATATATAATTTGATAAAAATTATGAATATTTTATTTTTTATATATTTTTTAAAAGTTGAACCTTTTTTGAAATGCTTAAGATGATGAAAAGGATGAACAATTAAAAATAGAGAAAATAGAGAAAGAGTAAAAATCATATTATATATTCGAAAATGAATCTAGGATCAGAGGTCATGGTAAATTTTTGGGAAAAATTTTTAATCGACTTTTTTTTTACAAAAAAAATAATCTTTTTATTTAAGCCTCTTGCATTGCACAGAACTTTTGGATTAGGAAACAAATGCATCAATATGAAGATAATAGATTTGTCATGCTTCTATGCAGAATCTCACAGGGTAAAAGCTTTAGTATTTGTGCATATTATCGAAAAAAGTTTTATGTAAAGTAGAAAGTTTAGGAGGCAGATTTGATGGTAATTATACTCGTAGTGTAACTCTGATAAGAAGTATGTTAGATAAGGATAAAGATACAATAATTAATGGACATCATTCACATCATTCATTCTTGGACAATGGAAAGTTAAAGTCAATAAAGAAACGAAAATATACAAGCTTTGGACTTGAATGTAAGTCGCTATTATAAATAAACTTTTAATCTTTTTGCTAACTTATTACTTAACGCCAAAAAATATTTATATTTTTATGCGGGATAGTCAGTTGACTTGTTACCGGCAATTTTTGAGGACAATGCGGATAATGTTATACCAAAAATTGAGATTGATTGATAAAACGTGTAAAATATACACTCAAATACTGCTGTTCGTAGATTCAGAATTGATATTATGATGAGTGTATAATTTAAGTAAGGTGAGTCCCGCCTGGTCTAGTTCTCAACTTAAAATGATTTAACTACAACTTATTATATAGGAAAAGAATTTATATAAATTAAGGATATTAAATAATATCATATGTCATATAATAAAGTATCAAGTGAACTAAAGACGCCGTCAAGAAATTAATAAATTCAATATAAAGAAGTTTTATCTTTTACCGTTTTTTCATTGAAACCAAGCTGGCCCTCTTGTTTACATTTGTACGGAAGGTAGTTACACCTAAAAGATATGGAGAATAATAAATGAAAGAGTGTAGAGATTGGAACCGTTAATTTTTAATCTTAACTCTGGCCAAAATTTAATTTTCGGGCAGAATTAAAATTTTTTTGTGATTACAAAATTTCGCTTGTTTTGTAGTGCCGGCCTGAGTTAAACTTAAACAGTTATTAACCGGTTAAGGCGCTAAAAGAGTGGAAATATTATATTTCTTTCTATATTATCGATATGCCATATCAAAATATTACAAGTTGCAGCCGAGACTCATACTGTAACTATTCGGATCCAATTTGTCACTGCTATTCGTCACATCAAGTTCCATAATTCGGTTAAAATTCACACGTGGGTGAAAATTTTTTTTGTGGTGATACTGGGTTAAATTAATAGCATCACGAAAGGCAAAAAAATACAGAACTTCCAAAAATAAAGGAGGTTCACCAACAATTTATGTTTAGGATATTTAGCATTCCTTAAGGTAAAGATTCTAAAATCTTGCGGGAAAACCTTATAATAATTCAAAAATAATTTCAATGCAAAATAACAATATCAAACAAATTTATCATTTTATTCATAAATTAAAATCTGCCTGCCGGTTACATATCCAATGTGTTATTACTTAACTAAATCCAGGTAGTTATTTAATTACTAGAACCTTTAGCAGTAAATATTTGCCCAAGATCAATTGCATAATTTACTACCAATATATTAATGAATCAGTCCTTAATTTCGTATGATCAAATTACAACTTCGTGTAAGTGTCTCTTGTAGTAAAATTAATTTTTCCAATCATATCCTAAATGGTGTTATTATAAAGTCCATTTGCTGATAAATTTACTATATTAACATACGCCGTTTTAATTTGTTCTGTTAGGATACAATTATAAAGAAAATTGTTAATAGCACAGCACGCTCATGCCTCTTCAAAATTTTTTTCGCATTTTCTCGAGACGGTTTTATTCTGTTGGATAAACCTTCGCAAGCACGTCTATTAATATCTATACAGATAAACTTGCTGCTGTATTGTTTATAATAACATTTTTGATTTCAAATAAAATAATGATATAAAATTAAAACTATTTCCCAAAGAAATATACTGTAAGTGTGAGGTCACACGTTGTGAAATTCTTTGTGGTAATATTACGGTATAAATTTTTTTTTATTCAATTAATTTTTGGGGGGTACTCATTTATCTCCGTAATGTTTTACAATTCGTTATTGTTTGTGACAAATAAAAAAGCAAACGGTTTGAGAACTCCCGCTACTTCCGAAAGAATTCGTATCGTGTATGGTTTTGACTAATTTTACTGAGCAAAAAAAGAATGGATTATCGATGATGCTTACTGGAGGTCAATACTCATTATATTATTAATTTGAACACTTGTTTGTATAATTATTTTATAAACAATTATATTTATTGAATTATTATATATTTGTATTCTTACAATTTTGATTATTATATTGTTTATAAAATCATCTTTTTTTAAATAATAAATAAATAAAAGCGATATACATATAAATTATTCCTTGTTTTCTGAATAAATTCGGAAATCTTCGGATGATTCTAACTGAAACCTCTCCTTTTATGAAATTGAAGTGATCACGCAGTAAGAAATCTAAAGCAATAGCTCCATTACTTTAATTTTAGAGATATATTCTAATTCAATTATAGTATACGTTCTATTAATAGAAGAGTACAACAATACTACAATATAATATTGGACGTACTTGAAATTTTAGGACAATAGAAAAAATATCAGTCATCTAAAAGGAAAGAAAAATTAATAGGAATATATGGGGTGGAAAAAAAGAAGTATTGTAAGTGCTAACAAATGAATAGGGGAATAAAACATCATAATGGCATCCCAAAGAAAGAAGTTCAAGTGTGCAAAGACAACCAGAATTTGATTTTATCAAAGGGGCCACACGTTAGAAACATTCTGGGTCGGATTGGGGTAAACATCAGATCGTTTCCCTAAATCTAACACAAATATGCCACATGAATGCCTCTTAGCGTTTCAGATCTCGTCTTTATGTATTTTCCATCTATAGAATCATAGATTACATAAAGATAAAATATTACCGTGAAATAATAATAAAGTTAGGTAGTAAATAAATTTCAAGACACACCTAGACCTTTAAAGGAAAAGAAAGAAATACTTCCTTTATAATAATAACCGTTGTTAAGTCCGGAACACAAGTGTAACGAAAGTGACCAATCAACGTATCGATTCAAACGCCACAGTAAACATTTCTATCCAATCAAAATTTTAATTAATAAGGCGAATTTAATATTTTGTAATACTTGAAATTATATTAAATTCATTATATAATGGTATCATATGTCGATCATTACCAAATCTACGATCATTTTTAAAATCCTAATTTTAGATTTTATGTTTAATGTTACAAAGATAATAGAGTTGATAATTTGAATCATTTTTGGTTGAAGGATTCCGTAACCTGATTTAAATAGCTTAGCTCCCATATAGTCCTTCCGGACTAATAATAAACTAAACTTGTCCTAGTTGCGAATTTCCCAATTACAACATATCATGTGTGATAATTAAAAGTAATGATTATATTTTCAAAAATAAAATTATTTTTGATGTCTTATTTGTATTTACTTTGTAGAATTTCTCTTGTATTATGTTTTGCATATATTGGAAAAACGAGAATAATTTTTATTGCACAGACCACCTGCAACTGCAAATCGTAAAATAACAATGAAAGTTTAATACAATAACCTATAAAAAAATTTATTAATTATTCACCATCTGTAAAAGGAAACCATTTTATGCAAACCATTAAAGTGATCCTGTAATTTTTGATTTATTTTTTGTAGTATCATATGGGAACGTTTCCAGTAAAATCAAGTTATGAGGCATAGTAAATCATATGATCCGTAATGTGATTTTACTGGAAACGCTCCCATATGATTCAAAGAACCAATTTTATTGGTGTAAACTCATCAGAAAATTATTCTATTGAATATGATACAAATGTAGAACATTCTTTACCATATGATGAACCCTTGTTCAATTGATAGAAACTATGATGCAATGCTTTGTTGTTAGTATTACGGCCGTGGCAAATTTTGGAGTAGGCTCAGTCTGCCGTCGACTGAATCGCGACTCTTATTTGAAATTAGCGATCATAATTGTATTATTAATATCTTAATATTTTATAATAAACTAGAAGAGAAAGTTGTCATAATCCCATCCCATTCGACTAAAGATTTGAAACTTGTATTTAATTGAGAATTTCTCAATATGATGACATTATATCAAACAGCGACTCAGTCACGGATCAGTCATTTAAAAATTCCGGAGTCGACTACTTGATTTTTACAGAGTCGACTCAACCTTCGACTCTGACTCCAATGGCTGGTACTACTAATTATCATTATCTTTGGAAGCTATATGTTGTAAACCAAGGAAGTGTTTTGCGTAAGTTCTTTATAGAAGGGCTGTTGGTTATTCTAATTTTATTTTTTTATTTTGTACTGAACTTTAAATATAGTGATTGATCATTCATTAATTAAACTTGATTATTGTCGATTCTTGGCAAGCATAATTATTAGGATTAGATATGAAACTGCAAATAATTAAAAAAAGTTGCATTGCCTAATTAGTTTTACGTCGAATCATGTGATATACTATGCTCGTACAAGCATTTAAGTCAACTTTACTTCTTTCGTTTATAAGTTCGTTCTAATGTAATAATTTATTTACAAAATAAAAATAATAAACTAATATAAAAAGTTCATGGGCATGACAATAAATAAATGGTAAAAAGTCTCCGAAGGTGTCCGCGCATATTATACTACCATATTCATAGGATAACATTCTATCAAAGAATTATCTAATGGTAAACTTTTATTATTGACAAACGAAATCACGAACCAGAAAGTAATACTAATCTAGTTTGGAACTCGCAAAAATAAGTTTATCGTGTCTGACTTTAAACCTTTGACGATACCTTTTGTTGAGATTCTCGTCAATTCTTTTGCCATCATTGATGGACTCATATTTCCGTTTTTGCTAATTATTAATGCCAGCACGCCGGCGACATGCGGAGATGCCTGACTCGTGCCCGTAAGTAATAACAGTTTGGACCTTCCGAGACCGGCCGCAAGAATATCTCTTCCTGGCGCAAAAATATCTAAACAAGAGCCAGTATTAGAAAAATCGGTAACATTATTTGAGGATTTCTCCGTGGCTCCTACGGTAATTGCTGATGGGGCCGAGGCTGGTGAAGTGTTGCATGCATCTTCCGAATCATTTCCGGACGAAACCACCACATGGATACCAGCTTTTGTACATTCTTCAATTAATCTATTAATTGTTTGAGAAAGCCTTCCACCAATGGATATGCTATGTATAGATAAATGTTAAATTTTATACACAAGTTAACGGATCACAAAAAAAAAACTTACTTTATGACCGTGTTTTTATTTTTACTCTTCTTGTGTCGGTCGAGGACGAACGCAATTCCCGCACTCACTGTCGTGGTGGTACCTGCTCCAATTCTATCTAATACTCGGACAGAAATAAGTTGGGTCTTCTTAGCGACACCAAAAACTTTTCCACCGATCTATTTAACGAAGAAAAAAAATTTTTTTTTAACTAAAATTAGTGAAAGAGAAGAGAAGGGTTGGAAAATTATGACTTACTATTCCTGCCACATTAGTTCCGTGTCTAATTTATTAAAGGAAAAATTATGAATTAATGAATTAATTTTAAAAAAATTTAAAGAATTATTCGGTATATTCATTAGTGTTATTAAACATACCCATTATCATCCTTTTTTGCACAACCGTCGCAAAAAACACCCCCAAATACTGCTCTACCTTCAAATTCGACATTATCAGTATCGATCCCACTAAATTTATCAAAAAAAAATTATTAAAAAAAAAAAAAATCGTGAATGTTAAATTTATCTACTCACGTATCAATTACGTAAACATTCACTAAGCAACCGGCTTCAGATGGGAATTTGTAATTTTTGTCTAATGGAAAATTGGCTTGATCAATGCGATCAAGATTCTATCAAAAAAGGAAGCGAAACCTAATTAATACACATGGAATAAATTATTTTTCGTATGATATTAGTTTACTTACGAAAGGTGCATTTGTCTGGGTAGTAGTTTTAGAAATGTGTACTTTTGTAACTTTTTCAACAAATTCCACATCATTCAAATTGCTCAAGTAATTGACGAATGTTTTATCAAAAAATCCGGTGTATGCAGCAAAACTTCCATCAACAGAAAAATCTCTGATTATATTTTTATCACATCTTTTGACCATTCCGTTTTTTGATGTGATGGACGTTACCTTTTCTACCTTATGTCCTAAGCATGTATTAAGCATCTTAAAGTGAGCTTTTTTCATTGATTTATGTGTAGACTCCGAAGTATTAAGAAATACAATGAATTCTTGTAAATGTGAGGAGGAACTCACATTTACATCAGGACATTTCATTGTGGGTGTCGAGGATGTGGAAAAGGTCAGAAAGGAGAAAATGATGAAGAAACGTGAGGAAATCATTGTAATTATTCCTAATAATCGGTTTTGGTCTAATAATTTTCAGTTTTGTTATTTTTCGCTTATCTAATAATCAGTTTAGATTTCCAATCTTTTTAAGGGGTTTCGGAAATTATGATATGAATGAATGATTAATTAAAGATGGACTAAAGAAAGAAAGTAAAGCGAAATGAGATTAAATGAAAGTGGATATTGGTTATGTGGACCATTTACTTCATGTTATATATTATTTAAAAATCATTTAAATTATTTTTAGATTATTAAAAAACCAAATGTTGTGTCATATTCGATCCTGTCGTTAATATATCTTATAAGCACAAGACAGTAAATATTAAATTTTGTTATAAATAGACTAATGATGCTGTGTATATTTATCATCAAAACAAACCAGTGATTTTACCAAGTCATAACAGCAAAAAAAAGAAGCATGCATGTCTGTTTTTATAATCAAAAACTTCGCTGTATGTGTAACGAACAATTATACAGGTTGATCATTTTCTTATTTTTTTTATTGACGTTATTTTGAAAACCTTACAAATCTTTTGAGCCTTACAAAATGAAATTTCTAATGGTTGTTTCTATTGACGATACCCTTATCTCATGTGACTTCGCATTCTCACTTTATTTCCTTTTTCTCTGTTATATAAATCATGTGTCAACTCTATTTGTTTGTCCCTTAAAACAGCCAAATTACCAAATAAATGAAAAAATTTATATAGGTAATACATTATATGCTTCTATCATATTAATATGGAAAAATTCAAGAGTTTTTTTGAAACCTTGTTTTGAAACAAAAGAATTGGTATCCTTCACCTTACTAGGATTAACAAAGAACTACTTTACACCAATAAAAAATGTTCCACTTGAAAGAATCGTCAAATTTAAAAAAAAAAAAAAAATTCCGAACCATCTTGTGCTTTAGAGCCCGAAAATATTCTAGACCTGCAACTTATACATTTTATTCCATCAAAAACATGTACGATAATCATGAAATTGGGCCCGCGAGACCGGTTCACAATCATCGGGATCGGTTTGGTCATCTGATTTATCACGGTGATCTAAAAAAAATTTTTTTTTATTTTTATAAAATTTTTACTAAAATAAATTATAATAGTTGAAAGCATATCCTTTGATAATAATAACCTTTATAATGGTTTTATAAAATAAAAAATTATTGGTGATTTTAATTAGCTAATTTTGCCATTTAGCTAGAGATATCAATATCAGACATTTCTTTTCTATCAATCCTTAATCATATTTTTTTTTAAAAAAAAACAGCTATTTTTTTATATATATATATAATTAAAAAATGTTCTAAAGAAATAATATTTTGAATTTTAAAAAATTTATCTAAAAAAAGCTTAAAAATAATTAATTTTTTTTTAATTATTTATATACTTAATAAGAATTATTATTTTTTTTTAAAAAAAATATATTATATAAATATTAAGAATATTTATATATATATAAGAATATTTTAAAATAAATAAATTAAATATCAAAAAATTTTTAAATAATTGTAATAATTATTTAAATTAATAAATATTTTATTTTTATTAATTTATTATTTTATATAATACTTACTTTTAACTTATTGTTAAATATGTAATTCTTATGAATTACAATTGATAGATAAGGTGTTTGAATGTTAATTCTTTTATTAATAGCTTATTAAATTTGTTAAAGTAATAATAATAATATATATATATTAAGTAAAAAAATACTTTATAATTTATTAATTATAAATTACATAGCAATTAATTATATATTTTAAATATTACCATATAAAGTAAGTTTTATTAAAGATAAAAATATGTATTAAGAAAATAAGAAAAAGAAATATAAAAGAATAATAAAAAAAATAATAAAAAGAATAGTATCAAACTAGATAAAGATCTAATTTCTATCATTCTAAATTTATAACTTATTCTATTTATATAAAATTAAAAATATAAAAAAATAAAACTAATATATTTATTATATCAAATTAATCAGTTTAATCAGTTATATCATTTATGTTAAATATGTCAGAAATACTAGTCAGAATAATCAATTTCATTACATTTTTACCAAAATATAATCTAATTTCTGCTGATCATTACCAAAAAAATAGCATTTTAATTATAGCCAAAGTTATCTAATACAATTAATATACTACTCAATTAAAATTATCATAAATATTGATAATAATAGTTGTTTAAACAAATAGAAAATTAGCTATCAATTAGTATTAATATTAAATAACCTAAAATTATCCTAAAATCAGCACAAATAAGCTTAAAATTAGTTATCAATTAGCTTAAAAACAGTTTAAAATCAATTAAGTAACTATTAAAGCTAAAAAACTCATTTTAGTTTATTTATTAATTATTAATTTTACAATTTTATTTTATTATTATATAATTAAATTACTCAAAAAAAAATATAAATTGCATATATTTTATTTAAAAAAAGATATATTTTATTTTTTTTAAACTAAGAAATATAAAAAAATAGTTAAAAAACCATTAAAAATCACATCTGATTTACTTATTCTTAAATAAAATAAATAAAAAATAAAGAAAACAGTTAAAAATTCACAAAAAAACAGTTTAATTTACTTAAAAATCAGAATATTACCAGTGATGCAAGAATAATATAAATTTACTTTTAGTTTATGCATTATAATATGTTATACTATCTAAAAAATAAATTATTTTTTACTTTCATTTTATTTAAAATAAATTAAAATATTTTGGTTAAGATTTTACAATTTAATTTAATATTTGAATATTTAATTTGAAAATCAAATCAAATATAAATACAAATTTATATTTGATTTAATTCAATCAAATTTAAATCAACAATGATTTATTTAATCAAATTTTAATTAATCTTTGATTTGATTTGACTATATTTAATTTAATTCAAATCAATAATATAGCTGTTTTCAAAGTTTTAGATATAGCTTTGCTAAGAAAACAATAGTAAAAAATGCATCTGTGTCTTTAAAAATACTTTCTTACTAAAAAATATAAAATAAAACATGCTACTATAGTTTTAAAATTATTATTTTACTAAGAAAACTATAGTAAAAAATACAATTTACAACTTTAGAGATATTATTTTACTAATAAATATAATAAAAAATGATTGCAAAACTTCAAAAATATTATTTTATTAAGAAAATATAGTAAAAATACCTTTGCAATTTTTAGAAACATTTTTATTAATAAAACTAGTAAAAATATATCTATAACTTTAGGAATAGTTTTTATTAAAAAAAACTAATAAAATGCTACTACAGCTTTAAAATATTATTTACTAAAAAATTGGTTAATAAAAATATCAACACAGCTACAGAAATATTTTTTAACTAATCAAATAGTTTTAAAATCACAATGGTAAATATTATTAAAATTCTTAATAAAACTAATACTATAATAGTAGTTATTACTAAATTTTCTTAATAAAACTGAAGTTACAGTTGTAATTATTACTAAGTTTTATTAGTAAAAAACTGATAAGCTAAAATAAGTTATAACATATTTTGCAACATTATAAGTTGCAACATAGAGTATATAGTTTAAAACTAATTGTAACATAAGTTACAATATTAAAAGTTGCAACATATTAATTACGGTTTTATCTTTATATTATAATTAATAAGTTTTTTAATTAAAACTTTAGAATAATTTTATTTTAATATATCATTATAGAAATTTAAAAAAATTTATATATGATTCTTTTGATTCTATTCAATTTGATCAATTCGATTAAATTTGATAAATATTTGATTAAATTTGATTTAATTTAATTCAATTAAATATTTGATTTGATTTAATTCAATTTAAAAAAATTCAACAAATTTCAAATTGCTTTAAATTCAATTTTGAGAAATCTTACTTTTGGTTAATTTAACTTAAAAATTAAAAAATAAATTATCAAATTTTTCTTTTTAACTCTAATTAAAGGATTAAGATTATTATTAATCAAAAGAAATGTTAAACAATTATCTGTTTTTTAAATATCAGATATTCATCACAACAAATAGTAAATATAAAATTCTTTTTATTATTAATAGATTAATTTTTAATGATTCTTATTATAGTTTTCCATTAAAATATTTGTATTAATATCTTTATTATTATATATTGATAACAATAAGTAATTCTTTTACTCTTACTTTATTATTATATAGAATTTCAAATTTTTTTTAATAGAAGGTATGGCAAAGCTTTTATCTTAATATACTTATCAAATGATAACAAATAAGAAACCAATCAGATCAAATCTGAATTATTAGTTTTGACTTGATTAGTTTCTTATTTTTTTTGTTTTTTTTTAAATTAGGTAATTAATGATGAATAATAACGCAGATAGGAATAATAAAATTTTAATCAGTGTATTATAAAAATATTAATAGGGTTATTCTTATTGATATCAATTTATTAACATCTAACTTTTAATCAGGTTATCCTTAAGTCATCAATAGAAATATTCTTATTGTTACCTATTATATTAATATTATATAAATAGCATATTCTGACTGATAATATTTTAATAATACTGGTAATTTTATAAATATTTATTTTATACTAGTAAATAATCCCAATTAATTATAATAAAAAGAATTTTTATTATTGATATAATTTACATTAATATAATATATTTAATTATACAAAAAAGTACATTTATAAATAATAAGCTTCTAATAGTCCAATAGTTACAAATTTATTAATTTAATTATTTACTATATTTATTAAGAAAAAAATTAAAAAAAGAAAAAATATGGTAAAATTTAAAATCATTACTAAAAGAATTTTGATTTGTAATATATTTTAGCCAATAAGCAAATAAAGTCAATTTTTATTAAAAAAAAGAAAAAAAATTAGTAAAATCCAAAAAATTAATACTCAAAAGATTTCTAATTTATAGCATAATAAATAAGAAAAGTC